TTTTTTTAAAATTTAAAAAAAATTTTCCCCCCCCCCCGGGGGGGGTTTTTTTTAAAAAAAAAAATTTGGGGGGGGCCCTAAAAAATTTTTTTTTAAAAAAAATTTTTTTAAAAAACCCCAAAACAAAAAAATTTCCCCAAAACCCCCCCAAAAGGGCCCCAAAAGGATTTAAAAAATTTAAAAAAAAAAGGGGGGGGGGGGGGCCAAAGGGGGGAAAAATTTTTGGGGGGGGGGAAAAAAAAAAAAAAAACCCAAAAGGGGGTTCCCCCCTCCCGGGGGGGGTTTAAAAGGGGGGGAATAAAAAAAAAAAACCCCCCCCGTTTCCAATTTTTTTTTTCCCCCGGGCCCCCCCAAAAAAAACCCCAAAGGAAAAAAACCCCCCCGGGTTTTTGAAAAAAAAGGTCTCTCCTTCCATGAGGTCCTTGGTGTCCTGCAGCATCTTCTCCTTCCACAGGTCAAAGAAGTAGGAGGGGTCCGTGTAGAACTTCAGAGCATCCTTACCATCGTCCCTAGTCATGACAACAACAGACATAAGCAGTCGCTTAGGGCCCCCGACCAACAACAGAGTAAGAACAGTAGAATACACGCAAGTTCAAAGGTTAAAGGTTGTGCATTAGCAGTTTTTCTGTTGTTATGTCAGTCACTGATAGTCACTGAATTTGCCATGTCAGCTAACCATTTTTAGATTGGTAGTTAGTCTAGCCAGCTACAGTGCCTTCAGAAAGTACACTATATACAGTGAGGGAAAAAAAGTATTTGATCCCCTGCTGACTTTGTACGTTTGCCCACTGACAAAGAAATGATCCGTCTATAATTTTAAATGGTAGGTTTATTTGAACAGTGAGAGACAGAATAACAACAAAAAAATCCAGAAAAACGCATGTCAAAAATGTTATAAATTGATTTGCATTTTAATGAGGGAAATAAGTATTTGACCCCCTCTCAATCAGAAAGATTCCTGGCTCCCAGGTGTCTTTTATACAGGTAACGAGCTGAGATTAGGAGCACACTCTTAAAGGGAGTGCTCCTAATCTCAGCTTGTTAACTGTATAAAAGACACCTGTCCACAGAAGCAATCAATCAATCAGATTCCAAACTCTCCACCATGGCCAAGACCAAAGAGCTCTCCAAGGATGTCAGGGACAAGATTGTAGACCTACACAAGGCTGGAATGGGCTACAAGACCATCGCCAAGCAGCTTGGTGAGAAGGTGACAACAGTTGGTGCGATTATTCGCAAATGGAAGAAACACAAAAGAACTGTCAATCTCCCTCAGCCTGGGGCTCCATGCAAGATCTCACCTCGTGGAGTTGCAATGATCATGAGAACGGTGAGGAATCAGCCCAGAACTACACGAGAGGATCTTGTCAATGATCTCAAGGCAGGTCTCCTATGACCCCAAGAACACCATCCCCACCGTCAAACATGGAGGTGGAAACGTTATGCTTTGGGGGTGTTTTCTGCTAAGGGGACAGGACAACTTCACCGCATCAAAGGGACGATGGACGGGGCCATGTACCGTCAAATCTTGGGTGAGATCCTCCTTCCCTCAGCCAGGGCATTGAAAATGGGTCGTGGATGGGTATTCCAACATGTCAATGACCCAAAACACACAGCCAAGGCAACAAAGGAGTGGCTCAAGAAGAAGCACATTAAGGTCCTGGAGTGGCCTAGCCAGTCTCCAGACCTTAATCCCATAAAAACTCTGTGGAGGGAGCAGAAGGTTCGAGTTGCCAAACGTCAGCCTCGAAACCTTAATGACTTGGAGAAGATCTGCAAAGAGAAGTGGGACAAAATCCCTCCTGAGATAATGTGCAAACCCGGTGGCCAACTACAAGAAAGATGTCTGACCTCTGATTGCCAACAAGGGTTTTGCCACCAAGTACTAAGTCATGTTTTGCAGAGGGGTCAAATACTTATTTCCCTCATTAAAATCCAAATCAATGTATAACATTTTTTACATGTGTTTTTCTGGATTATTTTGTTGTTATTCTGTCTCTCATTGTTCAAATAAACCTACCATTAAAATTATAGATTGATCATGTCTTTGTCAGTGGGCAAACGTACAAAATCAGCAGGGGATCAAATACTTTTTTCCCTCACAAATTAGTGGATTCGGGTATTTCAGCCACACCCGTTGCTGACAGGTGTATAAAATCGAGCACACAGCCATGCAATCTCCATAGACAAAGGCAGTAGAATGGCCTTACTGAAGAGCTCAGTGACTTTTAACGTGGCACCGTCATAGGATGCCACCTTTCCAACAAGTCAGTTCATCAAATTTCTGCCCTGCTAGAGCTGCCGCAGTCAACTATAAGTGCTGTTATTGTGAAGTGGAAACGTCTAGGACCACCAACAGTTCAGACCGTTCGTCTGTCCTTGGTTGCAACACTCACTACCGAGTTCCAAACTGCGTCTGGAAGCAACGTCAGCACAAGAACTGTTCGTCGGGAGCTTCATGAAATGGGTTTCCGTGGCCGAGCAGCCGCACACAAGCCTAAGATCACCATGCGCAATGCCAAGCGTCGGCTGGAGTGGTGTAAAGCTCGCCGCCATTGGACTCTGGAGCAGTAGAAACGCATTCTCAGGAGTGATGAATGACGCTTCAACATCTGTCAAATCTGGGTTTGGCGGATGCCAGGAGAACGCTACCCGCCCCAACGCACAGTGGCAACTGTAAAGTTTGGTGGAGGAGGAATAATGGTCTGGGGCTGTTTTTCATGGTTCAGGCTAGGCCCCTTAGTTCCAGTGAAGGGAAATCTTAACGGTACAGCATACAATAACATTCTAGATGATTCTGTACTTCCAACTTTGTGGCAACAGCTTGGGGAAGGCCTTTTCCTGTTTCAGCATGACAATGCCTCCGTGCACAAAATGAGGTCCATACAGAAAGGTTTGTTGAGATCGGTGTGGAAGAACTTGACTGGCCTGCACAGAGCCCTGACCTCAACCCCATCGAACACCTTTGGGATGAATTGGCACGTCGACTGCGAGCCAGGCCTAATCGCCCAACCTCACTAATGCTATTGTGGCTGAATGGAAGCAAATCCCCGCAGCAATGTTCCAACATCTAGTGGAAAGCCTTCCCAGAAGAGTATAGGCTGTTATAGCAGCAAAGGGGGGACAAACGCCACATTAATGCCCATGATTTTGGAATGAGATGTTCGACAAGCGACCTTTGGCCATTTTAGTGTGTGTGTGTGTGTGATAGAGATATATAAATAATGAACGGAATGGTTTTCATGTGTCAGCCATTATTATAAGCCGTCCTCCCCTTAGCTGAGGTGTGCGTGTACCTGTACTGGCTGAGGTTGTTGAGTGGCGGAGGAGGGTTACAGGTCAGATAGGTCTCCTGTACAGGCAGTGGCAAAGAGGGTCTACAGAACAACTGCTGGTCCTGAGTCAGATTACTATGAAACGCTTTCTTCTGGGTGATGGCCTGCAGAGAGACTGGGAGAGATAGATTGAGGGAGGTTGGAGAGGGGGTGATAGAGATGAGAGAAGGAGACGGAGAGAGAGTGAGTTAGGGTTAGTATTTATTTTATTTGAGACAGAAGTATACAGTATCTGTTGCATTACATTATATCTACTGAATTCTGACTTATACCTTGAATACTAAACACAGGACACTGTTTTTATGTAACATACAGTGGGTTTACCGGACACAGGTTGAGCCTAGTTATGAACTTAAAATCACGTTCAATTAAGATTCCCCATTGAAATTGTTTTTTTGTCAAATATGCTTAAACTGCGTCCGGGAAACCACCCATAGTGTATAATTAGAGATGTTCATATTTCCCTTTTAAGACGATTCGATACGTATCTAGATACATGGGCTCCGATACGATACAGGAACGATAGGTTTTAGTTTGAAACGATTCGGTATGATTCGGTTTGATTAGAGGAACGAATCGATGCGATTCAATGTGATATTATTTGACGCACTAACACATTTATAAATAATAAATAAACACATTCATTTTCCATCCTAAATTAAAATCTGCTGCTGATTGAGCTCATGAGCTGGGCCTCTCTGAGCTGGATCTGTCTGAGCTGGATCTCTCTGAGCTGGATCTGTCTGAGCTGGGCCTCTGAGCTGGATCTGTCTGAGCTGGATCTCTCTGAGCTGGGCCTCTCTGAGCTGGATCTGTCTGAGCTGGATCTGTCTGAGCTGGGCCTCTCTGAGCTGGATCTGTCTGAGCTGGGCCTCTCTGAGCTGGATCTGTCTGAGCTGGGCCTCTCTGAGCTGGATCTGTCTGAGCTGGGCCTCTCTGAGCTGGATCTGTCTGAGCTGAGATGTGTGTATGGTGTATGTATGTCTATGGTGTATGTATGTCTATGGTGTATGTGGGCACCTGAGCTGAGCCATAAGGGAACCTGCACATCCACCATCCCACTATCAGTTAGGGGGAGCAATTTTTGCTTTTAGTCCCCCCCCTACACTTTTGATCTAAAACCACCAATTAACGTCATTTTTGCAGATTAAAAAAAGTGTTAAGAGCAAGTAATGTATAAATATTTATCTTAACAAAATGTGCTATGACATAGCCAATGAATATAAAGCATAACTTTGGATTTCACCCCAGCTCATAATCAAATGGTTTAGACCATTTAGAAGTTGGAGGACTAGGAGTGAGCTTCTCTTCTTCTCTGCTTTGGCCATGCAGCGCGGATAGCAAAAGTGATTGCTGTCCTCATTATGAAATTATCGACTTTATCCTGTATATCTAAAAATGACCATATACCGTATTTTCCGCACTATAAGGCGCACCGGATTATAAGGCGCACCTTCAATGAATGGCCTATTTTAGAACTGTTTTCATATATAGGGCGCACCGGATTATAAGGCGCATAGAATAGAAGATACTGTAGTCAAACGAATTGACTGGGGTTGCGTTATGCATCCACTAGATGGAGCTGTGCTAAAAGGAATGTCAACAAAACAGTCAGATAAAGTCAAACTTTATTAAGCGTTCTGACAACTCCGTTCACTCCCATGGTAATGTTGTTCAAACGTTAATGTGCATATTAACAATATCTCCCAGCCTTGCTCACTCTTCTCCCAAACGTGGAGGGGAACCTTTCCCTGATTCAGTAAACACGTAGTAAAAGAAACAGTCTGATACCACTAAATCAAACGTTAGTGCATAACTCAACATTGTTCAGTTACATATAACACGTAAAGCTCACTTTTTCAGTTCATTCCCCATCCACGAACCCCTCGAATTCTTCTTCTTCAGTGTCCGAATTGAACAGTTGGGCGACTACGGCATCCAACCTGCCCGGCTCCCTCTCGTCATTATCCGAGTCAGTGTCGCTGCTGTTGCCTGGCAGTTCAGATATTATTCCTGCCTTCGTGAAAGCTTTGACCACAGTTGAGACCGATATATCAGCCCAGGCATCCACGATCCATTGGCAGATAGTGGCGTAAGTCGCCCGGCGCTGTCTCCCCGTCTTGGTGAACGTGTGTTCGCCTTCTGTCATCCACTGCTCCCACGCAGCTCGCAGTCTAGCTTTGAACGCCCTGTTGACACCAATATCTAGCGGCTGGAGTTCTTTAGTTAATCCACCCGGAATGACGGCAAGCTCCGAATTAGTTTGCTTCACTTGTTTTTTGACAGCATCGGTGATATGGGCGCGCATTGAGTCGTAGATCAATAGGGACGGAGCTGTGTGGAAAAAGCCACCCGGTCTCTTGACGTAAATTTCTCTCAGCCACTCACTCATCTTTTCCTCATCCATCCATCCCTTCGGGCTAGCTTTGATGACGACGCCGGCTGGAAAGTTCTCTTTTGGCAAGGTCTTCCTCTTGAAAATAATCATGGGTGGAAGTTTCTGGCCATTAGCCTGGCAGGCGAGAACTACAGTGAAGGATGACTTCTCATTCCCTGTGGTACGTACAGACACCGTACTGGTCCCCGTTTTCTCCACAGTGCGGTTCACGGGAATATCAAAGGTGAGTGGAACCTCGTCCATGTTGGTGATGTGCTCTGGCCGGATCTTCTTTTCAGTGATCTTATTTTTGCAGTATGCGCGGAAAGTGACCAGCTTTTCTTGGTAATCTTTTGGCAGTTGCTGCGAGACGGTAGTTCGTGTGCGGATGGAGAGATTACGTCTTTTCATAAAACGAAAGCACCAAGAAGGACCGCCTCGAAATTCATCGATTGTCATGTCCCGTGCTAGCGCTGTTGCCTTCATTCGAATAGTGACTGTAGAGACGCTTCTACTTGCTGCTCTCTGTTCAACAACCCACTGTTCGAGTTTGTCCTCTAACTGTGGCCATCTCGCTTTGTTCCCGCGGAAACTCTGTTTAGTCTTCTTTACTTGGCGCAGGTCATCTTCTTGCTTCCTCCACTTCCGTACCATTGATTCATTAATGTTGAATTCTCTCGCTGCTGCTCTATTCCCATATTCTACTGCATGACCGACAGCCTTGAGCTTGAACTCTGCGTCGTAAGCGTGTCTCTTGAAAGGTGCCATTTTGGGGTCTTTATACACACACAAGTGGTGTGGGACTGTGAGTAAGCACAATACCGGTGTGTACTGGCTACCGTAATGCTGCAAGTGGTGCGGCTTTGTAGTTTACCAGTCGTACTGAAACATTTCATTATTATTAAATTGTTTTTATTGGTTTTTCATACTGAAACATTTTGACAGAGCACCTTGAGCGCCGTGTACAACCAGTATGGATCAACCAATTAACCAATTGATCCATACATAAGGCGCTCCGGATTATAAGGCGCACTGTCGTTTTTTGAGAAAATGAAAGGCTTTTAAGTGCGCCTTATAGTGCGGAAAATACGGTACACTGATTGCTTAAAGCAAAACTACCAAGACTAATGCTGATGGTGAACCTGAACAATCAAAACAAAAATCTAATGTAAGCCCCGATCAGCATGTAGCCCACCTATAGCCAGATGAGAGTTGTAAACATTTGAACCGGGGACCGATGCATTCATATCTTAAACATTTGAACCGGGGACCGATGCATTCATATCTTAAACATGTGAACCGGGGACCGATGCATTCATATCTTAAACATGTGAACCGGGGACTGATCGTTATATAATGTCGGTCTCTTACCCTCCTCCTCTTTAGGGTCGAGCTGGGTGACTTTGACCTGTAGACGGTCCACTCTCTCTCCCAGTGAGTTCACCCTGATAGCAAATGCCCCCGCCTGCACAAACAGCTCTCCAAACACATCCTCTGCATACTTACCTACACAAACAAAATGTATATTATAGCCTACATACACACATGATTACATAACAAGACACACACACAATCATCTTACAATACACATACATTGTATTGCATTAAGCACTTCCCTGGGTATAAACTCACATCACACATACAGAGTAACTTACTGAGGCTGCCTAGCTGACGTATGATGTTGGCGAGGCTGATGTTGGTGACACACTCCAGCTCGCTGCGGATTTTTGGGGGGAGCACCTGGCGGCACACATGGCGAGGCTCGATGTTCCTTGTCACCAAAGGCATTTTGGGACCGGAGGTGGGCGGGGGGCTTCCCTGGAGGAGGGGGAGGGGGAGCATGTGAGAAAGACATACGGAAAGACAGAGAGAGACAGCTAGCACTGGTCAGATAGAGAAGACTTACTGGTCTGATAGAAATGTGTTTTCTAGAACAGACATCGCACTGGGCACGTGGAACAGACGTTGAATTGACATCTATGCCCAGTGGGATGTAGATTAGGGACGCTCTATTTCTAACCACTGTTTCAAAAAGTTACATTTCATTGAATAAGCACCATGTGACTGACTACCAAACAGACACACAGCAGGGCTAAAGCAGAACCAAAACCACAGCCTAGTTCTATTCTGGTCCTTCCTGTCTTCCCTTCAATGTGCATACTGCACACATCTGAGAGGACTGCAAACAATATGGTGGACTGGTGGTGGAGGCTCAAATCACACATAGGGAACAATTGTAAGGATTTATAGCTGGTATGGACATGAATGGAACTCGACTCCATCAACTCCAGCACCATAATACTGTAATGTACCCAGCAGCCACACGGGGTCACTCTAGTCAACACCAACTCCCATTATAACAACCACAGCCTAATGGCAATTATCCTCGGCTTTTCCAGTAAACACTCATGTGCATTTGCTGTCTCTGCACTCTATAAAACTATAAAGCACTTCTATCGAGTTAAAACAATTGGCCAACTGTCTAGCAAGGTACAGTAGCCACGACGGTCTTCTTGGTCGGTGCATTTCACTTGACAGGCAAGCTCATTGGTCCCATTTGTTTAAACATTTACTGGTTGATTACATGCTTTGGGTGTGACGTAAACAGACAAAAAAAAAAAACTTCCCTGACTAAACAGAATGTTATGAAGCCAGATGACACCAGATGTCCCATTGCCAAAACTATGTAGCAGAGATATGTAGCAACAACCTACTACCTACCATACAGTCGAGTGCATCAGCGTAGCAACACCCTATAGTGGAGTGCGCCAGTGTCATTACTTTTACACTGACACAAAAACAAGGTAGCCTATCCCAACTCTGTACCTGACAAATAATAGATTTCTCAACATAAAAACTCAACTAAAGGAGACCTGTTTTAAGTCCTAAGCATAGAAACACACCCAGAAACTGCATTACAATAGTCACGGCTAGGGAAGTTGACATGAAATTTGGGCTCTCGGCCTTGTCAGTTTAGCAGGAAGTAAAGTTGAAAGCGCCCCTCTCTGTGCGAAAATCGTCGGAGAAAACGATACTTCTATAGTAACTTCAGAAATACGCGATAAATAAACACTGATCGCTTACCTTCAAAACGGCCAATTGTAGAATCAGTCCAATTAGTCTTGTTTCTGTCTTGTTTCTACTTTTCGGAGTATTTCAGCAGCAACAACAATGAAGGTTTACTGTAAGCGGAGAGACTAAGGATAGACCTATCACAAAGACTAGTCCCAGATTTGTGAACTTCTGATTGGACGAGGCTACGACATTCCAGGCGCCGATTGGTTTCTCTCAATCTCAATCTGTCAGCAGCAAGGACATGGCAATTTGGAAGTACAATACGTAACTCCACCAGTGTAGTTGTAAACATCTGTCTTATCTTTGCGTAGTAAGGGTGGAGATACGTAACGCACATTCCAGAGTCTGCTCGACCCGGTTGGAACCAGGGGAGAATTGAGGATTTTAAATTGATGGCCGACCGCAGTACTGCAGGCATTGTTTTCAGAAAACAGGATCGAGCCCCATTGTAGTGCATGGGGAAATGGCGATCTTTGTGGTCAATTTTCGTGGATATAAAAAAAAAATCGAACACAATTATGGTACCAATAATTGCTTTTATTTCACCAGATGTATGTCATTGAACCGAAAACTTTAAAGTCACACAGACAAAGTTATAAGCATCATTTAGTTGTTAATGGAAGCCTGCAGTACCTCAACTTGAGATGCTCCATGAGAGGAGGCAGCAGTGAGCTAGCCTGAACGTCACTTCCTAGAGTAGCTCAAGCTGTGCATGCAATGTTTCCAAAAACTCTTCCATGTAGCAAGATGGCGACATGCTGAAATGACACTTCCTGATCATCAAACACGCCACTGAGCATTCTCATAAGAAACAATGGGGGTGACGTCATCGATGGCTTCTTCCATTTTTTTTTACAGTCTTAGGTTGGAACACATCCCAGGAATGACTGGCATTATGAGAATGAAAAGAAGCTTATTATGCAGAATAGGAGGCCCTCCTGTAGCTCAGTTGGTAGAGCATGGCGCTTGCAACGCCAGGGTTGTGTGTTCGTTTCCCACGGGGGGCCAGTGTGAAAAATGTATGCACTCACTAACTGTAAGTCGCTCTGGATAAGACCGTCTGCTAAATGACTAAAATGTAAAATGTATAAAGGTTTGTAAGTACCGTGTCACCATCATGTTATGCTATATGTGAAATTTTTAAATGTGCTCAAAATTCAACGTAGACTAGTACAATGAAGATGACTATAAAACAACATACAGGACAAATGGGATTAAAACAGTTTTATTGCACTTATAAAATATGAAAACATCTTTGAAATCAATAAATGTCTTCGCATTGCACATGTCGGCAGATAACAAACCCCGCCCCATGTTTCCTAAAAAATATTGTGTCACTGAGCAAATTTCAGCGCTGCCTTCAGTACATCAAAAACTCAATAGAACGGAAACAGTGCTGTACTGAATAACCCGTTGAAAAACGGGGACGGATTGGGTTGTGGGTTCAAAATGCACCGCTTCCCTTTAAATACATCACTCATTGCGTCAAACCATACCCCGGCACACCCATCAAATGAAGCAAACATTATCACAAAGTCTGTTCAAGAATGTACAATAACGATTTGGGAAAACGTGTCATTCAGTACAAACCGTTCTGCAACGTAGCAAACGTCAGTGTTGAGGAGTAGCGAGCTACATTTAGTTCAACTAGTAATTTGAATAAAATGATGCAGCAGCTTGGTGGTAGTTGAACTAAATTCAAATATTTTTTACGATGTAGTGGGTTAGCTAACTACTGGAACTACACACTACTGTTTTACCATGTAGTGGGTTAGCTAACTACTGGAACTACACACTACTGTTTTACCATGTAGTGGGGTAGCTAACTACTGGAACTACACACTACTGTTTTACCATGTAGTGGGGTAGCTAACTACTGGAACTACACACTACTGTTTTACCATGTAGTGGGGTAGCTAACTACTGGAACTACACACTACTGTTTTACCATGTAGTGGGTTAGCTAACTACTGGAACTACACACTACTGTTTTACCATGTAGTGGGGTAGCTAACTACTGGAACTACACACTACTGTTTTACCATGTAGCGGTGTAGCTAACTACTGGAACTACACACTACTGTTTTACCATGTAGCGGTGTAGCTAACTACTGGAACTACACACTACTGTTTTACCATGTAGTGGGGTAGCTAACTACTGGAACTACACACTACTGTTTTACCATGTAGCGGTGTAGCTAACTACTGGAACTACACACTACTGTTTTACCATGTAGTGGGGTAGCTAACTACTGGAACTACACACTACTGTTTTACCATGTAGTGGGGTAGCTAACTACTGGAACTACACACTACTGTTTTACCATGTAGTGGGGTAGCTAACTACTGGAACTACACACTACTGTTTTACCATGTAGCGGTGTAGCTAACTACTGGAACTACACACTACTGTTTTACCATGTAGTGGGGTAGCTAACTACTGGAACTACACACTTCTTGGGTGAAGTAGGCACAAATGTACTTTCCTTTTCGGCATCAGACCTGTCTAATTCTCACTTGAAAAACACCTTTTGTGTGTCTAATTCTCACCTGAAACACCGTTTGTGTGCCTAGTTCTCACCTGAAACACCTTTTGTGTGTATAATTTTCACCTGAAACACATTTTGTGTGCCTAATTCTCACTTTGTGTTTAGTCGGCTAAATTACACATTCTGTTAACATCTGACACTGTGATCTGTTGCAATTTGTCGTCTATGATATTTCAGATTTAGATATGATAATTTTTCACTAAGTATTATTATTATATAATTTTTGGATGTATAATATTTTTCTATATTTTTCTATATTTTTCTTAAGGGTAGCTTTAGTGTAGCTTAACTTCTTCTAGTGTGAAATAATTGGTAGCTTGGTAAACTATATTTCAGAGTAGCTTCCCCAACACTAGGTCCCGGTTTCCAGATAGCGATGGAATTTAGGCTTGTGCGTGTTTTAACTCTGCATCTTTCCTACAACGGCCGAAGATGTAACATACGTTTCCCAAAACCCCATGCAGAGAGAACATTCGCTAAGTGCGTCGTTGAGTCATGTGTCAATACTAATAGGATCGAAAGAAAGGCAACGATGCTCTCAGATCAGCTTTCTCCATTCAAATCTTACCTTCACATTAGAATTATTCCACAATACTGACGACGGATCAGCTCCTGGAAATATATTATCACTTATGGCTTCAAAAATTGAGGCGGTTTATTCTAATGCTTACCCTGTAATAATGCACTAAATCAAGTTCTCTTTTGTTTTCGTAACGGTCCCCTTCACACGATGTGATTGAGATGCTTAATATCAAAGATGTTTACAGTCACACCACACCGTTACTGTACCCAGGTGACCTGTCACTATAGAAGGCGGTGTGGCGGTCTGACGTACTGTCTTTTCTTTACTGTCACATTTGTGTGTTTTACGTTACGAGATTGCTATTAATCCCCTTCAGATTACTTTTTTATTAAATTACGATTCTTCAGTTTAATTACGATTCTTCAATGAAATTACGATTCTTCAATGAAATTATGATTCTTCAATGACTCGAGGAGGTGCCATGAGTACATTTACATTTTAGTCATTTAGCAGAAGCGCTTTAGTCATTTAGCAGAAGCTACTAGCTACTTGTATTGCTTTTTGTCAGGCATTTCCATCCCTGTGTGTTAGCTAGTTAGCTTTGGGTCTATCCCGTTACCTCAGAAGTTAGCTAGCTAAGT